AACTGTTGTACTTTGTAGGATTCTTATTCCTGAATCTACTGTACGTTTTAGGGTTTTAACGCTGGAACTTCTGTACTTTGTAGGGTATTTAACCCTGGAGTAAGAGTTGGCCCGGCATGGCCAGGTGTTTACGGCAATCTGAGGGTCGCGGGTTCGAATCCCCGTCACACCAAACATGCTCGCCCTTTCAGCCGTGGGGGCGTTATAATGTGACGGTCAATCCCACTATTCGTTGGTAAAAGAGTAGCCCAAGAGTTGGTGGTGGGTGGTGATGACTAGCTGCCTTCCCTGTAGTCTTACAATGCTAAATTAGGGACGGCTAGCGCAGATAGCCCTCGTGTAGCTTTGAGCGAAATTCAAAAACAAACAAACAAACAAGTAAGAGTTACTTTTCTGAAGTTTATTCTTAAAGTAATTTTCGGAAGTTTATTCTTAAAGTAATTTTCGGAAGATTATTCTTAAAGTAATTTTCGGGTAATTCTGAAGTTTTCTTGCAACAAATTTGCATAAGTCTGATTATATTCACTGAAGTGTGTTAAGTGACATTGTATATTGACTTGGCTAGGTGATGTATTGGAAGAAAAAAATTAACATCTGGAAGACCAAAGGTATTTCCATACCTTCTAGCGACACCAATATCGATTTGATTACATATTAAATCTAATAAATGTTAATTTTTTGTTCAGCACTTTTGGCTTATAACATTTACGATGACGATTGATATCACCAAGAGAAAAATATCAGAATAATAACTCGTATAGGAAGATAACTTTTTCTAAAACGTTTCTGGACCCAGCGTACCGTAGTGGGTACTGTTGACCAGAGGGGTCATGGTTAACTATCAAAAACCCACTAGATCAGAGTGGCTCAAGAGTTGATTCTTTACTAACTGCTTTCTATCAGTTCAAAATTAGGAACGGCCATTCGCAGATAGCCCTGGTGGAGTTTTGAGGCAACATATATATTTCATAAAATTAACTTTAGATTTCACAATGAAACAGTTTCAACTGGACAGCTATTCCTAGTGAATGTTAAATTATTCTTTTTTGTTTATCTCAGACGGTCAGACAACTTCAGTTAAAGAATAGAATAACTGGACCATATTTCTAAAAAAAGGCCTGACATTCCCAGAGCGATTGCCTTCACCCATTTCCACTTCTGGCACACCAAAAGAGATCCCTTTATATCGAGTTGAATTCCAACAGCCAAAGCGTGATCAACCCATTAGAACTTTTGACTTTCATGAGCGATCAACGAAATTCGACTTCTGGCACTCCTAAAGTGGTCTATTTAACCCAGTCCGACTTCTAAAACTCCAAGAGAAATCCGTTGAATCCTACGAACGAAACGAAGAAAGATGATTCCAAAGATTAAAACTCCCACAGCCACAAACAGCACTTTAGAATAGGTACAACTTGGTACTAAACCACGTGATTGTTATGGGGATTGCTTAAAACGGTGACTATACAGGCTGAAGCGAAATGGATATTTTAGTTTCTCTATGCAACGCATGTGTGACATGAATGCTGAAGATCCTTGCAAACGGACATTGTAAGTGGTATAACCAAGTGCAACAAATCAGTCAGGTTATGAGCTGTCTTAAACGAAACGACTGTTTAGTGAAGACATTATAATTACTGGTTTATAGAGAACGTTTTACGTGACCAATAAAGTCACTTTGAATTTATCACTACGTTTTACATTTTATCAGTTACTCTTTTATAACTCGTTGGTCCGGCATGGCCAGATGGTTAGGGAGCTCGACTCGCAATCTGCGGGTTCGAATCCCCGTCACACCAAACATGCTTGCCCTTTCAGCCGTGGGGCATTATATAATGTGATGGTCAATCCCACTATTCGTTGGTAAATAAAGTATCCCATGAGTTGGCGGTGGGTGGTGATGACTAGCTGCCTT